CCCTCCAGCCACTCCTCCCACCTCCATCATCCCCCTCCTGTTGTGCCTCCCACCTCCATCCCCCCAACCCTCCAGCCGCTCCTCCCACCTCCATCACCCCCCTCCTGTTTTGCCCCCCCCACCTCCATCCTCCCCACCCTCCAGCCACTCCCCCCACCTCCATCCCCCCGCTCCTGCTGTGCCTCCCACCTCCATCCACCCTGACCCTCCGGCGGCGCCCCCACCTCCATCTGCCCCTCGACCCTCTGCTGGTGCCCCCACCTCCATCTGCCCCTCGACCCTCTGCTGGTGCCCCCACCTCCATCTGCCCCTGACCCTCCTGCCCCGGAGGCCCATACAGTGTGCTGGGTTCTCCTGCTTTGCTTTCTGTTTCTCAGGGGACACAGGCCCTCCATAGGGGGCGGGAGAGGCGCTGTGTGACTGTGTCTGTGTGTGCACCTGTGTGTGACTGCGTGCTTATGCTGACGTGCGGCTGTGTGATGGTATGTTTGCGTGCACCACATGCGGTTGTACGTCTGTATGTGGTTCTGTGTCTGTGTAATATGCGTGCCTGGCTGTGTGGTTGTGCGTGTGTGTGGTTGACTGTGGTTGTGTGATCAGGCTTGTGGTTGTGTGTGCAGTGGTGTGTGAGTTCCTGGAGGCTGATGTGTCTTCTCTGGTCCTGTGTCCAGCAGAGGCCTGGCCTCCTGGAGATGGTGTGGTTCAGGGTCTATGCAGGCGGTGGGTCACAGGGCAGGGCTGGCTGTCAGAGGCAAGGTCGCCAGTTCTGACTCCCGGGATGGCCGCTGCACAGGGTTGGCGGGGCCCTGCTGAGGCTGCAGGGACTGCTTGCTGCTGGCACCCAGGCCCTAATTTCTCTGCAATGCCAGCCACCACTTTTCTCATGAGCTCCTGATTCACAGGCCCCACAAACACCTTCCTAAACAGCTCTGCGACTCGGCCCACAGGACAGAGATGCGTAATCACAGCCTCTGAATCCAGCAGGCACTGCAGAGAGCCCTGGCCCTCATCAGCTGCCGGGAGCAGAGCAGGCCAGCTGCACCCAGCACATGGGTGTCACTGAGGGAGGTGACCTGGCAGAGAGGCCAGGCCCCCCCCATGACCACTCATCCCACTCAGCAATGCAGGGGTGCTCCGGGACCAGCCTAGTTGTGTGTGAGGGGACTCCACCATGGGTTGTTCCGACAAATGATGCTCTCCTCCACAGCACCCCAGCCCCCTCTGCAGGCGATCCTCGGTGCTCAGTACTCGGTGCTTAGGCACGGGTCTCTGCCCCTCCTTGAAGGTCTTGCCTCTGGCTGTGGCCCCTGGATGCCAGACCTCCTAAGGACTGCCCCCATCCAGCTGAGCATGCCTCGGGCATAAATTGTCAGGTGGAAATGTGGGTTGGCCTAATACAGCCAGTCACTTTCCACCTGGGTCCAGATGTTCCCCCCACCCCGTCTCTGTGAATTCAGCGGTTCCGTGTCTGTGTCCCGGCTCTCCACCCCATTACTACTTTGATACTGGGAAGGTCCATGCTGTACGGAGCCTGAGGAGATGCCGTCGCCTGTAGCTGCCTCTGCCAGTCCCTCGGGAGTGAGCTTCCCGTCGAGGGTGGCAGGAGCTGTCATGTGAAAGGACCCCAGCTGTTGGTAGGAGAACAGCTTTTTGGTTGAGTGCTCTGGGCTGAAGGTGTCCCTCTGACGGGCCAGGCCTGTACCCTGCGTGCATCTCACCACACCTGTTTCCCTGCCCCCAATAGCCTGGCTGCCTGAAGCTATCACAGGCAGTGGGGTGTGGGGAGAACAAGCCCATCTTGTGGCCTCATCACTGTAGGGACAGGCGGGCAGCCTATACTGGGCATGGGGCCGATGGCACAGAGCTGGACTCCTCAACAAAAAGCTAAGAGCCTTGCGGTCAGTTTTCAGACACATCTGCAGCATTTTGCAAAGCAGATTTTAGGCCAATGACTTGAGGGAAACTGGGTCACAGAGTAGAGTTGCTCATAGATTCTTCTAACAGTCCCTGACGGTTGGACCGGAAGTTCTCTGCCTCCCACGCTGCTGTCTCTGGCAGGTGTGTGCGGGAGGCAAGGACAGCCCCCATAGTCCTGACTGCCTTTGTGCAAACCTTACTCCCCACGAGAAAAGCCAGTTCACCCTAAAGTGAGTGACCCATAGCTCCTTCTCCCTCCTAGAAAGGACTGGTGTCTCTAAGGAGGTGGGTGAGCCTGGCCTCTCTCCACATTGCTGTCCCCAGGGAGGGAAAGGTGTTTCTGGCTGGGGTGCGGGCTGCAGGGCTCCCCAGCTCTGTGGCTGTCCCTCCCCTCTCCTCCAGCTCATCACGTAGGCTCTGGGTCTAAAACACCAGGTGTGCTGTGCTCTGCTCCCCGGTGCCTGTGGGGGGCCCCTCCCTCTGAGAGTGTGGGGGTCCCACTTGAGCCCTTGGCTGGTCCAGGCGCCACAGGCCTCTCTGGAAGGCCCACCTCTAAGAAGCCGGACTAGCCGGGGATTCAAGCTCCCCGCAGGCTGCAAAGCCCCTCGGCTCAGAGGGACCCGCTCTTGGGGCGACCTGGCTGGAGCCTGAGGAGAGCCACGGACGCTGCCCACGCCCGCTTTTCTGCTTGGGCACTGCGCGGAGTCTCCTCCAGAACCGCTTCCAAAAGCCAGGAATGGGGCACAGCCAGGACCGCAGCAGAAACTGCAGGAAGCTTGTTCCTGGCAGAGAAACCCAACGTGCCATTTGCTCTCCTGGCACAGATGCCTGAGCGGTGGGACCGGCGCAGCCTGGGGGCCCCCCAGCGCTGCTGCTGCTGTGACCCGGCTGGCCTCGACCCTGACAGCCCGAGACCCGTGACCTCCAGATCCCGACGCCCAGAGACCCCACCACCCCCAGACCCCTATGCCCCCCGATGTCAAGACCCCACCGGCCTCTGGACCCCAATGATCACGACACCCCGAGACCCCGCTGGCCCCCAGAAGCAGGAGCTGCGGTCCGCGGGGTCCTCGGTGCACCCACATCCCCAGGAGAGTGGCGCTGGGACATCCCCCGTTTCCAGAGGAGGCAGCTGCGGCGCCGGGCAGTCCCACGTGGTCCCTGAGGCTGGGACACCCCAAGGCTGAGACCCCTGAGGCCGCCACTCTCAAGTCTCCGATTGCAGGCGGGTCAGATCAGAGGTTTTGGGTTCCACCGGGACTGGGGTTCGCTACTGGCCTCGCCACACAGGGGCCGAACCCCCCCCCTGGTTCTCTGAGCCTCAGCTTCCCCCGTGAGAGTTGGAGGTGGTAGGAGGGCACCGGGAGCGACCCCTCAGGGATGACAGGGCTGGCACCCTCCCACAACCGTGCAGGCCAATAGATCCCCTGGGTGGGGGAGCGCAGCCCCACTCAGGAGCCCGCCCCTACCTGGGGGAGCGGATGGCGGACGGCTCCCTGGCCTCTGGCCCTGCTGAGACCCCACTGCCCTCCCCACCTGGCGGCAGCAGAAGCGGCAGAAGCTGAGATGTTTACTCTGCAGAGGTGCGAGGTGGGTGGGGTCCGGGTTCCCCACTGGGGTCCTTGGAGCTACTGCTCTTCTTCTGGGGAACCCACTCCCCAGGCCTTTGCTGGAGCAGCCCCTACGCTCCCAGGACACCCAGGCAGGTTTTGGGGGAACTGCTTCTGTACGGCAGCCGCCCCTGGGGTGAAACCCTGCTCAGCGTTCCCTAACATTGTAAGTACAATGAAGTGGCTGCACTCAATTTACTGTACATTGCACATAATTTAAATTTTGTGTATGTAACCAATACATCCATTCAAGTTGATATTTAAAGCTTCATTCTGAACTAATTTTAGATTTACAGAAGAGTCACAGAGATCGTGTAAGAGGGCTCTTGTGTGCGGTGCCTGGGCCTCCCTAGACGCTGACATTGCACCCACCACCACCAAGTGCTCATCACAGCTGACAGCAGACACCCAACTGCAGGCTTCATTTGGGCGTCACCACTTTTCCAGATAGCTTTCTCTGTTGTAGGATACCAAATTCCATTCAGATTTTTTTTTTTTATTTTTTTTTCTTGAGACAGAGTCTCATTCTGTCATCCAGGCTGGAGTGCAGTGGTGTGATCTCTATTCACTGCACCCTTCACCTCCTGGGTTCAAGTGATTCTCCTGCCTCAGCCTCCTGAGTAGCTGGGATTACAGGCTTTTGCCACCACACTTGGCTAATTTTTGTATTTTCAGTAGAGACGGGGTTTCGCCACGTTGGCCAGGCTGGTCTCGAACTCCTGACCTCAGGTGATCCACACATCTCAGCCTCCCAAAGTGCTGGGATTACAGGTGTGAGGTACCAAACCTGGTC